CCCTAAACCAGTGCGGGTTCCTTCTGATGTCTGCACACAGTGTCTTCAGATTCCCTTCCTAGGGACTTGGAGGCTTTGGAGCTCTGGCAATCTCTTCTTCTATGTCTTTTGATTAATATGTATTGAATGTCCTCATAGGTGCCTCAGGTTTCAGTGATAAACACAATAGACAAAATCCTGAAAGCATGGGGCATTTAACGTTTTAAGTCTTCTTTTGACACACTTGTGAATCTGTTCTACAGTAATTCTAAAAAAAATGCATGTGAAGTTTTTGTATTACCAAATATTAAAATCTACCATTAATTTTTCATTTAAAAATAGATGCTATTAAGACTGGTTCAGTTAATGGATTACTCAGAAGCAAGAATGTTTGATCTTCAAAGTCTATGTAAAAAAATAGGCTGACTTTTTGTTGTTGATGGTTCAGCAGTTAAGAGCAGGTACAGCACCCACATCAGGCAGCTCACAATGACCCACAATTCCAGTTCATGGAGCTCTGATCCTTTCTTCTGGCCTCTTCTGGAACACACACACACACACTTAAAACAAAATTCGTTAAACAAAAATGTGTGCTTGGTGATGTGCATTGGGAATTCCATCTCTGGGAAGGTGAAGACAGACAAACCCCTGGAGCTAGCTGGTCAACCAGGCTAGCTTACTTGTTTCATTCCAGGCCAGTGAGAACTGAAAACAAACAAAAATGTAAGAGGTGAATGGTGCCCAAGGAACAAGACTGGATGTTGTTTTCTGGTGTTTGCATGTGCACACCCACACACATGGGATCCCACCCTTCCACACACATATGCAAGACAATTTGTAGTCTTAGAGAAGTGGGTTCATACACATCTTGTATTTTCTAAAGAGATGCATATTTTTAGCATATGAAAAAAAACTGTCCCAGAAAAATGCAAATTTTAGTTAAGTCTATCACCCACTTGACATGTGTGAAGTTGAGGTTAGGTTAATCCATCACCGGGTTATCTCATAACTCCCTCCCTTCAGTTTTTTGGTTTTTTTGGACACCTATGCAACAACAAAATCACTAGTGGGCGCTAAGAGCACACTTATCTGACCCAAAGTTCTCAGCATAAGCATTTTGATGCGGGCTAGCAAAAGCCCTAGCCTCATGTTAAACCAGCTTTCTAACTGAATGACCAATGTCATGTGTAAATGGTAGGCTAACAATTAACGAAGCTGTTTTCTTTTCATGCAAGTCTGAGCTTTAGTGCACTAATTGGTCTTCTAAACACTCCCTTTCAAATATCTTCAGGTTAGAGGACAGAAACTCCTGTAGAACTTTCCAGTTCCATGATAAACCGTGGGAATGTGGAGAGGTGACATGGCAGGGTTTCGATGAGTAAACAAGCCGAGATGGGATAGTCTGGGGACCCACTGGTGACACTTTCTGGGTATGGTTGGACTTAGATTCACGGTCAGGGTGGAAGGTTGCCTGGGATTTCCAGGGTCTTGGAATGCTGGTTTATTGAGTTGTATTAGGTGGGAAGTCAGATCCCTATTACAGGGAAGACTTGGGATGCAGTCACAGTAAGGAATGTGGGAGAAACCCTACCTCGAATAAAATAAATCGAAAAAGGAAAACAAAACCACGATAGAGCTGGTTGGCTTTCACCGGAACCCAGAGAGCCCTGCCATGGGATTGCATCCTCTGCATCTGGTACCCACGAAGCCATGTCCTATGGCTAGTGAAGGATTCTCAGGGCTTTCTTCCACTTGTTGGTCTCTGTGCTTCAATCGCTGGCTGGCTTCCTTTGGAGTGGATAATCTTTTTACTCATGCCTAATTTATAAAGCCATGTTATATGTGTGCAGCCGCCCCCCCTCCTCCCCAGGGAGCATTTTGTGTGTACTTGTCATCAGAAAATGATAATAGTAATTGTTTAGTGTCTTGTAGCTTACATTTTCAAGTGCTATATGGTACCTTAATCTTCACGATACACCTAGGGGGAAAATTCATGCTTCTTATTTCCAATTGAAGATGGTGAGAGTCGTGTGGGTGAAGGGACTGTTCTAGAAGGAATGTGTACCCTGGGTGTTGTCCTCCAAGATAGAAATTTTGACAGCTTAGCAAGCCATTTTACCACTTTGTGCCTGAGTTTTGAAATCTGACTTTGCAAATGTGTGTTTGCGTGTGTGTGTGTGTGTGTGTGTGTGTGTGTATGATGTGAAAGAGAAAGAGAGAGAGAGAGAGAGAGAGAGAGAGAGAGAGAGAGAGAGTTTGTTTACACTAGTGTGTGAGACCTGTGGGTAAGCAGGTCGTTGCTCAACTCTGATTGAGCAACGACCAATCATGTGTAGAACATTAATTCTAATGGGGTCCCAAGAACATAAATTTCATAACTAGTTTTGTAGTGCTTGGGGTTTTTAAATCTTATATTGTACTTAGCACAAATCTAGTTTTGGGTGTTGTAAGAGAATATCTGATAACATCCAGGTTAATAAATCCCATGATGAAACACTCCGTAGAATTGATGTTTCATTCACAAAGAGGATATAGTCCTACAAAATAGTTTGTGCAAATGCTCACCTTTTATGAATGCAAGAAGAATGCAAAAGCAAGAATTCTGAGCACCATATTGTAACATAGTAGCCAGGTTTATTGAGTATTTGTACCAGACATTACTTTCAGCTCTATATGTATAGTGACTTACATACTCATAAAGAGAGCTATAAGGTAGGTTCCATGTTTACCTCCACTTTACAAATTCGAGGAGGCTAAAGAAACATTAAGTAGGGTTGGTGAGATGGCTCAGGTAAAGGCACCCGTCATCAAGCCTGAAAACTGGAATTTGATTTCTGGGACCCACACGGTGGAAGGGGAGAACTGACTCTAGCATATTGTCCTCAGACCTCTACACATGTGCCATGCAATTCCCCCACACATAAATACATGCACACAGAATGAGTAAATAAAAATGTAATTAAAAAGATACATTGTGAAATTCTCAAGGAATTAATACAAATATTATATTACAAAAAGCAATGTGAAATGTTTTAATCCCATAGGCAGTAGTAGTGGAGCCAGGAATAGAACTGTGCAGCCTGGCCAGGTAGCACAAATAAATAGTAACTGACATTGTCAACAGTACCAGCCCCGTGTCAATCGCACTGTAGGGTTATCCCACTGAGCCCACAGTAGCACTAACGAAGTGTTTACCATTCTCATTCCAAAGTCAAGAACCTGTGAGTCACACAGGTTAAGTGATAGTCCACTGTCTCCTCAAGGCCAGTAACCCTAGAAGACTTGGTGACATTCAGTGACTCCAGCATGGGAATGGCTCTGATACCAATGGTGTGTGATTGGTATCTGAGTCTTCAGAATGTTGAACACCAAGTTTTTGTGTTTGTTGAAATCCTTCACCATCTTAAATAGAATAGGTGGTGAGCAGGAAGTGGCCCAGATGACTAGAACAAGAATACTTTCAAGACTAGTTCAGAACATACAGTAAGAGAAGCCAAACGCTTTCAAGATTTACAACTATGCAAGCCTGAAGCTATAACTGAGTGGTAGATCACTTGTCTGACATGCTCAAGTCCCTGGGTTCCCACCCAGTACCTCCTTCCACCCGAGGAGCACACAAGGGGCCTTATCTGAATGCACATAGAGAAGGGGGCTGCCAGGCTGTGGTTGTCGATAGCTTCCGCTTCCCACTCAATCTGGGCTGGCGGTTTCCTCAGTGGAGAAAAGAAGCTAACTTGTTTACTGTGATCTGGGCAGAGTGCTTCGCTTTTAATGTATCAAAAGTGGAACACCAAGCTCTTTGGAAACGTTCAGAAAGTGATAACCAGGATGTGTTCCCAGGAACAGTCAGGGACAGTGATGAGATAGACCCACGGAGTTTCCTTTTCTCCTTCCTAGCTGTGTGAACTTGAGGAACTAACCCTTTTGGGGGTTGTTTTTTCTGTGTGGAATTGACTGTTGTTCCTACTACAAAGTGTGAATTCAATGAGCTGTAACATAAAAATACATGTACATAATAAGCATTAATAACAGTACTGTGTGTAGCTATTGTCACCGTTATCGTGACCAGAGCTAATGGCTGGTTTGCCACCACAGGAGAGTATCTTTATTGCTTTATTCGTTTCTTATGGAGTGTGCATGTGGTATGTGTGCTGGGCATTAGGAGGATGCCCCATGCTCTGCTCTGGCGCCATCCACTTTATTCCCTTCAGACAGAGAATAGCACCGAACCTGGAGCTAGGGTGGCAGTCGGCTAACCCCAGAGATTCTCCTCAGGCTTTTTTACACACCAAGCTTTTTTTTGGGGGGGGGCACTGGGGATTGGGGTTCAGGTTCTCGGTTGTGCATGTGAAGCAAGTGCTCCCACCCACTAAGCCGTCTCCCAGTTTTTTCCTGTAATGACATGGGCGTGCTGGTCCCCTCGGTTCCTTAGGAAACTGCCCTAAGAAACTGTACTGGGTACCCTTGGAAGAGTTTACAGCTGGGAATAGGGAACGAGTTGGGAGTGGGTAGAAGTTGAAGAGGAAAACCCAACCACAGAGACAAGAGAGAGGCTTCAAGAAGAGAGACTATGCTCACTAAACACAACAGGAGCGGGGCGCGCCCCTTGCACTCTGCAGATCTCCATCGGGATGGTATTGATTTACTTTCCAGCACTGACCGTGCGTCACCCAGCCCCGCGGGGCGGCCTGCTGCCCCCTCCCTGTCCCCTGCTCCCTTCCACACCCCCGTTCCGGAGCCGGCTCGCGATTGGCCGGCTCGGCCGGGGGTTGTCGCGGATTGGCGCTTGCAGGCCGGGGCCACCGAGTTTAAAGAGGGGGCGGGGGCGCGCTGCCCAGCAGCGCTGCTGTCTCCGCCGGCTCACCTGTCTTCGCAGCAGCGCTCGCAGCCTCTCCCGCTCCACCTCGAGTGTCCCAGAGCCAGAGGCTCGCGAGGGCGGCAGAGGACAAACTTAGGGCAGATCCTGTCCTGGCCGGTGCAAGAGGCACAGTCTGTGAGGGGTGAACGTCGCTGCGACCACCATGGTAGCCACGTGCCTGCAGGTGGTGGGCTTTGTCACAAGCTTCGTGGGTTGGATCGGCATCATCGTCACCACGTCTACCAATGACTGGGTGGTGACCTGCAGCTACACCATCCCAACCTGCCGAAAAATGGATGAATTGGGCTCCAAGGGGCTGTGGGCCGACTGCGTCATGGCCACTGGTCTCTACCACTGCAAGCCCCTGGTGGACATCTTAATCCTCCCGGGTAAGGACCTTGAGCTTGCAAACAGCTTTCAGAGGCAGGATGGGCCAGAAATGGGGGTCTTAGACAGGGTTCTCAGAAGTTTGGGCACTCAGAGTCCCTGGGTACATTTTTGACCTCTCCAATCCCATCTTGTAGGAGAATTAGCCCGGAACAACCACCTGTCGGCCTCAGTTTCTTTATCTGGAACATGGGGGTAATAAAGGCAATTTGGCCACTGGTAACACTGGTCAATGGCTTTGAGAATTTAGTGAATCCAATCCTATACACATGGTAGGAACTCACTCTTGTTAATCCATTACTTTGTCATCCCAGGTTCCCAAGCTAATTGACCAAAGATCCTGAAGGCTGGCCCCTGCCTTCTCTGATAGTCTTCTGATTAGCATCAGTCTGTAGATCTGAGGAGGAAAGTACACAGTATGAGCAATCTGGTGCCTCAAATAAGTATAGGCCAAGCTTCTGAGACTGTATGGGACTCAGAGCCATCCCAGTGAGTTTAGGTTCACATTCAAGGACTGTCTAGATTGGCCAGATGACTGAATCTCAGTTGGTTCTCTCAGGTCTCAGGACCTGTCTTATCTGACTGGTTACCACCTGGGGTCCCAGCGTCCCTCAATAGCAGGCTGCAGTGATACCCCTCCCCTGCTAGGGTGACACCCTTCCCCAGTTCCTCCGAGCAGGCTGCTGGGTATTGAGAAGATCCAGCACCCTGGGAGAGTCCAGGGCTTGCAGCTGTGTCCTCGGGAGTGTGTGGGAGGATTGACGAGCCTCTGAAACACTGGGTGAGGGAGGTTGGGAGGGAACATCTCCCTTTGGGTGCTATGGGAAAGTTTGTGGAAACAGTTTAAAAACCTGTGGACAGTTGGATGACTTGCGAGGCGGTGAACACCACTTAAAGATTCCTGCTAGAACTCTGTCATGCCCGTGGATTTACTGTCACCTAGGTGAGTTTGCCTGGATCCATCTGGCCTTTGATGATGTGTGAATTTAAGACAGCCAGTTCTTAAGATGAGGAGAAATCAGCCCTCAAGTTACTGGTCTGAGAGCAGCTGAATTTGTGCCTTCTCCATAGTACTTGGCTTTCCAGAGACCCTGTAGCCCCCTTTAACAGCCCAAGTGCCCCCTCTCTTCCAGACAGCACATTTGGAATTCACCCTCCACCCATCTCCCTTACTGCTAACTTTTTACCTCCATACCAGGATGCGGTATTGGCAATCAACCTGGGACTTTGTTCATGTTAGGTGAGCTCTCTGCAGACTGAGCTATACCCCCACCCCTATTACATTTTAAATTCTATTTGCATTTGCTCCTGGCCCACACTTTGCCTCTGACACATAGTAGGAGGGTACAGTGCATGTCAGACCTGTTTTTCATTGCCCCTTTCTCCATTTGGACACTTGGAAGGCCAGGTGTTAGGGGACCCTGGTGTGGATTCAGCTTTAGTTAATGCTGGCTTTGGTAGACATGGGTCAGACATGGCAAATGTCTTTTCTACTAATAGATGGGCATGGCAGTAGAGATTTCTGACTGTATAAAATCCTTTTGTTTCCTTCCCCTGGAATTACATTTCCTGAGTTTTCAATGCCAAGTGGCTTGTTTTCAGAGCACACAGGCCGTGCTGGGGGCAGGGAGTGTATTTTGTGGAGAAGCTTAATTGTTTTATGCTTCCTTACCTTACCCATTGTGTGTGGGTGGGGGCAGTTACTCCTCTATCTCCAATTTCTGATTTCCAGACATGGCCTTGGGACTGTGGCACGTGGACAGCCTTGTGCCATGAATTTCAGAGCATCAGTTTTTTAGTTGAGTGCTGCCTTTGTGTAGGCCCTGGCTCTTTTCCCAGCTGCCAGGAGGGGCTGGGCTTCAGACTTTTCTGGGGGCTCCTCCTGGGATCTACAAGTCTATGATACCTGATAAGGTATCTCATTTTTTTTTCCCCCAAGACAGGGTTTCTCTGTATTGCTTTGGAGCCTATCCTGGAACTTGTTCTGTAGACCAGTCTGGCCTTGAACTCACAGAGATCTGTCTGCCTCTGCCTCCCGTGTGCTGGGATTAAAGGCATGTGCCACTACCTCCCAGCATGGGTATCTCATTCTTAAGATGAGATGGCCAGTGGTTGGAAGAGAGCCCATGTAGCATACCTTGTTAAGGGGCAGTGTTGGTGCTGCCTGTTGGCACAAAAGGGAGGTTGGCTGGGTCTGACATGGGTTCCTGGTATGTGGAAAAGAGTTAGGGTCAGTTCTTGACTTTGCCATTAGCTCAGCCTCATTCAGGCCACTAGCTCTAACTCTGTCTAAACAAATGAAGCAAAACAGACAGCCATCATTTATAAATGCAACACTTGTTTTTTTAAGTGGGGAGAATGTTTCAATGAGAAACAATAATTGACATAAAAGTAAACAGTAAATTTAAATCTGTGAAATTTTCCTGGTGTCCATTCAGCTTTATTTTACATGATGTTGTGCATATTACAGTCTGTGTCTTCACAAAGTTCTCACTTAGAAATTTTATAGTGTGGATAACTTTGCTCTGCATTTCTCTATCAACTCACCTTTTCCTTCATGGATAGTTATGCCATCTGTTATGGGGGCGTGAAGACTAAGATAGATGTCTATGGGAATCTGCAGGGTTGGAGCGACACCTTTTAAGCATTGACAGACCACCGGTGGAGAAACATGCCCAGGAACCATTAATAAGGCAGGAAATGGAACTTGGCCATTTAAGGGGATGGAGTCTCGAGGATAGCAGCCTCTGGGGAGGAGGGAGAGAGGGGAAGTCTTAGTCTTAGCTTACAGTACAGTCATGCCTACACATAGTCACACCCAGTGTGAACTGAGGACAAAATCACACAGTGCACTGAAGACAGCAGCACCACACCAGGCTGAGTGTGATGCCTCATGCTTGTAATCCCAGCACTGGGGAGGCTGAAGCAGGGCATCATGAGACAGAGAATTGTAAGGACGATGGTGAGTTCCTGTCCGGAAAAAAAAAAAAAGTATCGCATCAATACAGGCCAATAATGTCAGTAATATTTGCTGCCAATTCTTTCAGTGCTTAGCATAGAACATTTTCTAAAGACTCTTTGAACTGTGGATTCTATTGCCAGTGGAATTCTATTAGGGAGGTGGAGGGCCTTTATTATTATAATTATCACTCCGAAGACAAACAAGTGAGATGCAGTAAGTAACTGACTTGCTAAGGTTCCACAGACAGATGATGTCGCAGTAGACTGGTGTCAACAACCCACCATCACAGGTGACCTTTTGAGCATTTGAGTTTCTAGCTGAATCTTTAACAAGGTGTGATAATAATGTAAGTAAGTGCTTGGCCACTCCACTGTGGCCAAGTGGTCTTCACCCTTATCTTGCTTCTGTTTTTCTGGCACACTCACTGCTGTTTTCATCAAGCTCCTTTAAAAGTTGAAAATGCGGTGATCTTGGACATTTATCAAATTTTAAGTCTTAGAGGGGACAAGGAGGAGGAGGAAGGTGGTGTTGAATTCATGAGACATGGCATTTAGGAGTAAGAGGATCCCCAGTCTAACCCACTCTCTCTGTTCTCTTGTTCCCAGGCTACGTGCAAGCTTGTAGAGCCCTCATGATTGCTGCCTCAGTTCTGGGTCTGCCAGCCATCTTGCTGTTGTTGACGGTTCTTCCCTGCATCCGAATGGGCCACGAGCCTGGAGTGGCCAAGTACAGGCGAGCCCAGCTGGCGGGGGTGCTCCTCATCCTGCTGGGTAGGCTTTCTCTTTGGCCCCCAACTCTAGTGAATGTGAAGGAACTCAGACCTTACAGTTGTTACTTCAAGAGAAATGTGAAAAGAAGTCAAGAGAAACCCAGAATCTGTGTCCCTTTAGATCATATTCCAGAGGAGTTTAGGCAGGACCCTAAGTTACATCTATGAGAAGAGCCAGTAGGTTAACAAGAAATGATTACTCAAAGAAAATTGGAAGGAAGGGGTTCACAAGGAGCCTCATGTGCAGGATCCTCAGTATAATCCCTTTAGAATGACTTGTTTGCAGACTTCATAGCAGATCAATTGGAACTAGAACTTTCTGGAGGTCAGTTCAGGAAAGATAATTTTTAGGAGGCTCCCAGGGTGATTCTCACTTCAATAAGAAATGAGAGCCTAATTAATATATAACAAAAGGACAGAGAAAGAGGAGCATAAAGGAAAAGGTGTGTGTGTGTGGAGGTAGACCAGTAGGCGATGGATCAATATTTGTTCAGTAAATGTTCATTAATCAAGTATAGCAGGCACTGTGGTAGGCAATGGGGACCATGATGAAGAAAAGGAATGTTGTCTGGGCAGGTCACCTTAAAATGGCTTGTATGCAATATACAGGGAGGAAGACACCTAAGTCACACTGGAGGGGTTTCCCACAGCATAGGAATCCAGGGAGTTGAAGAGGTGACAGGCTATGGGTTGGAGGGAGGACCAACCTAAACTGAGGAAGTGCTCATTCAGTTTTGCTCATCACACCTGTACACAGGAGCTTGATCTGACTCCCTGCTGAGGGTCTTGTCTCCTGTATGGCAAAAATAAATGCTGGCAAGAAGCACACGTGTATTCTTAGCCCTTACAAGGTGAAGGCAGGAGGGTCAGAAGTTCAAGGTCATCCTCTTGGTTAATGAGGATGGCCTGAGATACATAAGACTCATTGGGATACATGAGATATATTGTCTCAAAAAAAATTACATTTTTTCCTTACCTTTCACATAAGAGTTCCAGGATACCTCCAAGTGAGACAGCATGTTTCAACAACTGCAGACCAGTCTACAAGAAGGAGAGGAGCAAATGAAGTGAATAGATGCAAATTGTGGTTTTTGCTTTGTTTTGCTTCTGGTTTTTGAGTTTTTGGGGGAAGCAATGAGTGGTTTGAAACTTCTCAGATGAATTGGCATTTCTTATCTTTTTTTTCTTTTTGAAACAGAGTTTATGTAGCCCTGGCTGTCTTGGAACTTGCTCTGTAGACCAGGTTGGCTTTGAACTCAGAGACCACCTGCCTCTGCCTCCCAAGTGCTGGCATTAAAGGTGTGCACTATCACCTGGCTGGTTTTTTTTTGTCTTCTCCTTATTACTTTTTTTTTTAAAAACATTATTTATATGTGTGCACCTGCACAGAGGCCAGTTGGTTCTAACCTTCCACCATGTGGGACCTGGAGAACAAGCTCAGGTTCCCAGCATTGACAGCAAGCTCCTTTGCCCACTGAACCATCTCACTGGCCCAAGTTTTTCCCTACTTTTGAAGGTAGGAAGACAGTTTGATAGCTGAGGAGAGTGAGAGTGAGGTGGGGCTAGAGAGAGGGTGTGCTTCTATCAGTCCCTGTTTGTCTCCATTCAGTCTGTGGGCAAAAAGAAACCTGAGCCTAAGGAAGTTGCACCTTAGGGTGCATGAGCCCACCCTAAGAATGGGATGGAGGAGTGTGCAGTCCAGTTTTAGCCTCACATTTTGATACTGCCTGCCTTTTCTGATTGCTGTCAGATTTCTTTCTCAGCAGGTCTCCACCGGCCTTCTGGTTTCATTTTGTCTTGACTGGATGTAGCTGGCTCATTGTTTCAAGGGTGTTTCTGCTTCATGTCTTCTCACCCCCAGTCACAAGAGCCTTGTTTCCCACCCTTGGGGATGGGTGGGAGAAGCCTCAGTGTGAAGGCTCCCTTTGTGTGTAGCTCTGGGATGTTTTCTGCCTCTCTTCACTCTCTGGGGAGAAGTTGGTCCTGAGCCCAGGCTCTGTCCTGGGGGGTCACTGATGATGTCTCAGCTGAAGTATGGCTGCTGAGCATGAAATAGAGCCGGAACAGTGTCACAGCCGATTTTGATGTGGAAACTGAGCATGATTCAGCTCTTTCTGGCCCTGAAAATCTCTGACTATTTTTCTGAAGGCTTGAAAGAAAGCCTGCCTTCTGGCCAGCTCTGTCTTCTAATTCTGTATGTGAAGGAATAGGAACTTGATTCTGTGGCTTCTCAAGCCAGAGGCAGTGTTCAAAGAACAACATATGCCTGAGAGCTGGGGAGGGTCGAGGGGGGGGGATCTAGCCTGTCAGTTTTCAAGGTACAAGGCCCTGGGCCCTAAGGTTTTTCATCTTGTCGGTTGTAGTCAAACCAACCACCCTGAACTAGGATGCCACTGCCTTTCAGCAGTGTTGCTTGGGGCAGCTACTGTCTCTCAACAGCCGAGCTTCCTTCCCAGCTTAGTGAGAACAGCAGTGAAGTATGGGAAATATTTAGCATGCTATCTGGCACATAGTAGGTCGTGGTTGCCATGATTCTGGTTGTTGGCTGGAGGAAGAGCCAACCTAATTACGTGTGCATTCTGCAAGAGTCATGTCTATGCACAGAGCTGGAGAGGAGTGGCATGATATTGCACTTACGGAAATATCACCGCATCCAGACTTAGTGGAAATGGTTCTCCATAGAAATGAGAATGTGGGTGCCCACAATGGAGACGGTCACTGTTCCCGTCATGAAGGAACCCTGACTCCTTGTTCTGATTAGGTTCCTTCTTCTCTTGCTGCACAGCAGAAAGCCCTTCAGCTGGACGTCTCTCAGGAGTGGGCAGGGAGGAACCGGTGCTCAGCTTCCTCAGGGACTTTTTTCATCTTTTCTTCTCCCCTTTAAACATCCGGGCCTGGTGGCTTTATTTATGGTGGACAAAGTTGTTTCAGCTGCAAACTTTCGGGTTAGTGGTGGATTGTACTAGAATCAAGGGTGTGGGCAAATGTGAGATGAGCTGCATGTTATACTTACAGCTTTCCTACAGGGAAAAGTGAGGGTCTTCTTTTTTGAAAAGTGAGGTTCTTAACCAGGCAGAGGAGAACAGCCCGAGAAACCTCCCGGGCTTGTTTACTATATACACACAAATACTGTGTGAACCCTTTCTGTGATTTTTCTATTTCCTTTTTTGAAAAATATTAACAAGCACCTGGATATGTGGCATAGTGTAAAGTAACTGGGGAATAGCTTCAAACCCTAGCAACACATATGCAAACAATAAATAAGAAGAAGATTAAACTTCTATGAGACTTGTTTGAGAATGCTGTAGGGAAAAGTAGATGGTGAAGCATGTGATAAAAACAACAGGAAAAATGTCAGTGTTGAAAGCTGGCCAGGAAAATAATGGACTTGAATATTCCACTGACTGATGACAGTGTAAATGCTAGGCTTTCCTGACAATCACTGTGTGGGAGCATGGCCATTGTTTTAGGAAACAATAGGCAAGAAAAGAAAAGAAAAGCTCAAGCCTTTCTAGATCCACATGGGAAAAGAACAACAAATAAATAAACACCACGGTTCACTGAGAAATATTACTTGTTCCTTTATTGCTCCTTTATCCCCCCCAATCCCATATGTGGGCTTCAAACTCACATCCCAGTGCAGTTCAGCTCACCCCTCCCCACCATTCTTCAACATTTTCATCCCCCGCCGCAAAGATGTGTCCTGTCAACTAAAGAACACATTGTATTTCATTATTTAAAAATTGTCCCTAATACAGGCTAATGTTATTACTCTTTAACAAGGAAGAGGTTTTACTTATGAGAGGGCCAAATCTGGTGTGTGTCTGCGTAACTTTCTTCTCTCTTCCCCGCCCCCTCCCTTAGTTGTTAGCTTATCTTTCCCTGAACAGACTGCAGAGTCCTGCTCCTTCCTTTTCGAGTTAAGGATGGCTTCTACTGAGGGAGTAAGATCTGAGAGTGAAATTGCTGCCTTGTCTTAAAGACTTAATTTAGAAACAAATTCTGTCATAAATAAAGAAGGAGACATCTGGTTATTTATCTTTCTTTTCCTTATGGGTGACTGTGATTTTTCATAAAAACCTATTAATTTTTTCCCAGATAACAGGGCCATTTCAAACTCCTGTTTTTTTGGGGGTGGGATGGCAGGTATACAGATGGAAACAGGCCTAGCAAGCCTCTGCCTTTGAGAATGCCAACAGTGGTTGCGGTTTTATCACTCCTTTAGATTTTTCAGTGAGGTGGTGATTTGACTTGTATTTTTTAACTTTACTGGTCAGTCAGCACCCCACACCCCCTCACCTGCCCAAAACTACTACTGACATGGAGTGTATTCTCTTTTTCTCCTTTGTTTGTGTCTATAAACATTTTCTTTCCAGGTCAGTCAGAGGTCACCGCAAGCTGGTCTCTAACTCTCTTTCATGTGTGGTGGCCTGTCATTTCTCAGCAGTTTTGATGTGGCTTTTCTTTTGAGTTCATCCATCTGCTAGGAAGGAAAGAGCTGCGGGTGCTCATTTGCCTTGTTTTGCATGGATTATGAAAGAGGGAAGATTTTAATGAGGTAAACTGTGAGTTTGTGACTCTCACTATTTGTGAATGGGGTATAAACAGGGGAAAGCAGAACCAAAATGAGACTACCTTACATTTCTCTGTCCATCTATCTGTCTTTTATTTGTCCACCCACTTATGTGCCCAGTCCTATGTGGTCATTATATAAATGTATAGGCATCTCCCCCTTGTCTAGTGAGTTTCATAGAGTAAATCTAACATCTCCAATACATGCAAAATCAGCCATCAATCCTAGAACACAGAGCCTGACTCTTCCTGGCTGCTTTATCTATGCTTAGGAAATAAAGGACCTCTAAATGGATTGGAGACCATTTCTGGTCTTACTGTATTAAAGCTAAAGTGAATCTGAATGTTCTTCGTTTTCAGAAAGGTGAGGAATGGTGTAAGTGCTTGTGTGTGTGTGAGTGTGCATGGGTGTTCAATGTGTAAATACAAAGTAGCCCAAAAGAATAACACTTAATTTGAAGCATGGAGTGTTTTGAAACCAGCTAGCTGTTTATGGTATAGACTGGTTGCACTGACTCAAATTAGTTGTTTGGGAATGAGATCTTTTCCCCCTTATACTTCTCTATCCTTCTCCTGATCCTCTCAGTGTGACTGGGCATTAAAAAACTTTTACTGGTGGCTGGTTGTGTCCTCTTTAAGACTAGGAATGGCCTCTTTTTATTGTGTATCTATATCTTGCTCAGGGGGTGAATTTAGTCCATTGTTAATAAGAGCTCTTGTAGACTACACGACAAATGTGATGAGATAATTTCAAATCTTTCTGAATAGGTAAGACTTGAATCCTTAGTTTACAGTTGTTGTTAAAGAAAGACTGTATTTCCTCTCCATGGTCAGATAGTGTTAAGTTAGAAAGCTTGAGTTATAGCCAGAAAAGTAGATTGCTGCGTTGAAAGCAGCAAGGGCACCCCAGGTGGCACATGTTGGACCGGTGTGTGGTGCTATAGCTTGAACTTGTTCATGATTTTTAAGGATGCCAGCTTGGAAATCTTGTTGTTCTGATGAGTGTCATGTCTGGCAACTCTAACCGGCCATCTCAAGTTAAGATTTTTACTAAAATATCTGTCCTGCTGTGGTTGAGAGAAATCAGAGTATACTAAAGGGAACCATGGGGTTGTTGTGTCATCCAGTAAAATAATCATTAGACACATGTGACCATTTGAATGAAAATCATTAAAATTAAAAAAAAAATCAAAATTTCAATCTCACTAGCTCCACGGCATAAGTGAAATGGCCCTATGTAGCTTGTTGCTACCCTATTTGGTAGAGCCAGACTAAATGTTTAATCCCTTTAAAAAATCTGAACTATCGAGAAGGCTCAGCAGGTAGACACACTGGTCTCCACGCCTGACAGTTTGAGTTCAATCCTTTGTACCCACATGGTGGACCCCTGAAACTTGTTCTCTGACCTCCACACACACCCCGTGACATATGTGTTCACTGATACACATACTCACATGTAGTAGATAAATTAAAATATAAAAAAAAAAACCTTCACTAGATGAACTATTTTTACCCCAAGAACTGTTCATTTGTGTGTTGGTGTTTTGTGACTATGAATGACATCGCACAAATGCAGGCCCTTGCCTGATCCTAGCAATGTTCACTCCAGCAAGAGAAAAAGAGTAACTCATCCTGGTCTTTGTAATGTGGATTGATAACTCAAGAAAATGGTGTGGAAAACTGAGATGGATACCATCTTGTTTCTCATTTTTGAAGAGCCTGATTATTTTACTCATTCAGCCAGGAGACACTGAGCTGAACATTGAGTTTCTACACATAAATAAGGCATGGCCCCTGCCTTCACAGAGCTCAGAGCATGGGGCGAGCAATAGACACAGAAAGCCGTAAGTCTAATATGAGTAGGTAAGTATAATAATAGAATTGTAAATGCAGAGGTAGGGATGAGGCTCAGTTAATAGAGTATGCCTGGCAAACCATGGGGTTCCATCCCTAGTACCCCATAAACTGGTTGTATTATCTCATGCCTGAAACCACAGAATTCTGGTGATGAGATTCAAGGTTATTTGCTACATGACATGATTAGATAATGAGTTCAAGGTCATCCTGGACTACAGGAGGCCCTGACCTGAAAAACTCAAAACAACAGCAACAAACACACACAAAAATGGAACCTAAACTAAAAGTAACTAAAAGTAACACGATGTGTAAGTAAAAACAAATACATTAGTTTGGGACTTAAATGGTTATATTAAGTCTTTACAAGGGTGTTGTCTCTGCTGCCTTTTGAGAAAAACAAGGACCAGAAAACCATTGGACATAGCCTATTGTAAGTCAACTATAGGGCAGAGGTTGCCAAATGAGCAGTGCTTTGTGTATTGGCATTTTTGGAGTTGAGTGGAAGGGCCATCCATATCTGTGGAGTGAACTTGTCTGACCAGTGCACTTGGTATGTGATGGTTGTGCCCACTCAACCTCTCTCCCTGTCTCTGCAGCTCTCTGCGCCATTGTGGCCACCATCTGGTTCCCCGTGTGCGCCCACCGTGAGATCACCATCGTGAGTCTTGGCTACTCACTGTATGCAGGCTGGATCGGTGCTGTGCTGTGCCTGGTGGGTGGCTGTGTTATTGTCTGCTGCTCCGGGGATGCACAGTCATTTGGAGAAAACCGTTTCTATTACTCTTCTGGCTCCAGCTCACCAACGCATGCCAAGAGTGCCCACGTATAAGAGGGCTGCTCTGCTGCCCACCGAGGTGCTGTAGATGCTGGGCCTGGGGCCCTGGGTTTGCTCGCCACAGTGGGGGAGAAGCCCACTCTCTGCCAGGCACTAAAGCCAAAGGTCTAGAAAGCATCCTGACTAGTGGTTTGCAGTAGTAACACCCCACCCACCCCACTGCTTCTCGGTTCTTAAAACAAATCTCTAGCTCAGATAATGCCCACATAGTTTTTTCATGGTGTTGCCCGCTGTTAGCCCTTTCCTTGGGCATTCCATTGTTGTTGATTAAAAAAATATTTTGTTTCTCTCTTAAATTCAAATGTCTTGGGAACATTGCTGACTTGGGTGTGGATTAAGAGAGAAATAAAATACACTGCTCAACGGTTACCGATGACAATGGAAGCCTCATAGAGACACCTCTCTGTTTCATCTTCCCTCTTCAGTTTCAAGGCCACTTACACATAAGAGATAGAAAATGATAGACTTGGGAACACAAGTGGGAGGGACTTGGGAACATTCCCTCTGTGGGAATACCTCCCTTTTATAAGTTGTGGGGTTGGGACTCTTTCTTAGTTTGTGATTTTACATTTATCTGTACATACTTTTTCAAGATTGATCGTTTTTTATAACCATGGGTTTCCTGAAATTCTCAATTCACCAATATGAAGGAAATGAACCAAACTGGCTTTAATATGCAGTAAGTAACAGTACGAAGATTATAACTTTAACTGACCATCCACGATTTCCAGGTTTGTATGCTGTAGTTTTTAATTCTACAGTTGTGTGTGCTTCAAATTAACACATTTGAAAAGTGTTTCTCCCCCTTCCATCTCTGTCTCTGTTCTGTTAGCAATCTTGAAGCGATGTTGTTTAACATAGATTTTACTGTTGAATTTGGCTTCCTGGGTGTAAACTCAATGGTCTGTCAGTATCCGAGACTCAGGACACTCCAAACAGGGTTGGTGCATTTTGTTCAGGTAAAATCCATGCAATAAAATAACAAAGTGTCTCCCAAACTGGTCTTTAGTCTTCTGTTGTATTCAGAATATCAACTGATTAAGAACAAAACAGAACTCAGCAAATTGACTTCTGATCTTCGACTCAGAACAAATCATTTGGGGTTGGGGAGTGGGCTCTGCCGCTACGGTGGTTAAGAACTGGCTTAAGTTCAGTTATAGTCAGCTAAGTAAAGAGCCTGACAAGGGGGGGGTCATGCCTTTCTTTTTTTTTTTTTTTCCTTTTTTGACACAAGGTTTGTTTGTTTAGCCCTGGTTGTCCTGGAACTCCCTGTGTGGACTAGGCTGCCTCATAGAGATCCACCTGCCTCTGCCTCCCAAGTGTTGGGATTAAAGTCATGCACCACCACCACCTGATTTTACACCATTAGTATCAGAATGTGGGAGGCAGAGTAAGGGGAATATCTGTGAGTCCATCTTCGTCTGCAACGTGAGTTCCAAGATAGCCAGTGCTACATAGAGAGATCCCATCTCAAACAAAAACAAAAAAACAAAAAACGACCACAAAAAATGTGAGTGGCTGGGGGAGATGCCTGGCTTTAACCTCTAGTTTCCATGGGTACCTGCATGTACACACAAATGTGCACATGAGTGAGGGAGCGGGCGCGCGCGCGCGCGCGCGCACACACACACACACACACACACACACACTGGGCGGGGGCAGGGATGATTTTGGATGGATTTGGCTGTATCACTGTGGTAGTGCATGATCATGAAAATGTAGCCTCACTGTTCTCTAGGTATCTTAAGTGTGACTTTCTTGTCTTCGTGTCAGGGTAAACATGTAGTCACAAGAGCCAAGTCATAAGCATAACACAGCCCAACTATGGCTTCAAGCACTCAATGAAAAGACTGGGTAAGCCTCAAGGTAGCCTTGAATAAATTCATTTTATTAGGTTTTAGTTGTAATACCTAGATGTGTTTTGTCCAAACATGCATGAGACAATTTGGACAAAGACATGTTAAGTGCAGTTTTATTTACTTATTTTCTATTTCAGAAACTGTCAGGTTATGAGATTGCTCTAAGAGACCCGATTATAATATATTTTGGCTTTTTCTCCCAAATTATTCAGGTTTAGGAGAAGGCTCAGTGGATAAAGTGCTTGCCATGCAAGCCTGAAGGTCCAAATTCCAGGCTCCAGAAGCCATGTAACAGCTGGAGTAACAGCTGGAGGCAATAGCACTATAACCCCAGTGTGCCCACGTCAGGAGGCAGAGGCAGGGATAGGGCAGTTACCGGAAGCTTGTGGATCAGCGAGCGGCAGTGAACCCGAGAGACCCAGATTCAGAAAGTAAGGTTGAAAGAGAGGAAGGACATCCAGGGTTGTTTTCTGACTCCCACATGTGCCATCACACATGTGCTCCCCCCCCACAAATACACACACACACACACACACAGAGAGAGAGAGAGAGAGAGAGAGAGAGAGAGAGAGAGAGAGAGAGAAGAGAGAGAGAGCGCCTGAAAACGCTAATTTCATTACCGAGGGTAATGCATCCTTACGATCAACAAACATTCTCTTTGAAAATGCCTGTACCCAGATACCACAGTGGAAACGATTTCTAAGTGACTTATGCAGAAAAGGCCTCCGCCATGTTAACAAACACGTTTGATTTGTTAGGATCCAGTGTTTGTAAGGCCGAGTCATATGAGAGGACACCCTTTGCCTCCCTGCCCTTGTCAGGGCTTTAGGATTATGAGCGTGAAGGACAAACAGAGAGAGAGGGCACAGGAAGCCGGATGCCTCCTGTGTTAACCAGTCTGAAGCATCATCGCGCAGGGGTTCTCTGTCCTGGAGGCTTGTACTTTTTCTCTCCTGGATCTTCCTCCGTGGCTGCTGCAAATGAGGCTCTAGTCTCCTTGATGATGTTCCCTGACTAATGGAGGAGCACATGTTGTAGGCCAGGCCTGAAGTGTTACCAGTTTGTGGTAGGAGACTAGATGATCTTTGAAAATGCCACCATCCAACAGGAAGCAGTGAGCCATGTCTGAGCCTTGAAAATTTCTGATAGCCACATTTTAAAAAGGCTAAAGATAAACAAGTAAAATGAATTTTAATATATTTTATTTAACGGAGTCCATTCAAATTATTCTCATTTCAGTATGTTCACAGCTATCAGATTCTCCACAATGTTCCCTTGGTATTAGGATTTTGGGTTCTGGTACAGTAACTACCTGACAACTGTTTTATACTTACAGTTCGTCTCAGTTTGGATCAGCCATATTTCAAGGGGCAAGTAGCCATGGGCTAGAGGTCATTGAATTAATTAGCCCAGCTACAAAATAATAGGTTCTGTCTCTATGATCCTAGAAGGAATTAAAATTTATTTTATCTACTTTCTTTGAGTTCCATTAGAATGTGGCCAATACAACTTTTGAACAGTCAGGGCAAATCTTAATTCATGTGGGGACCCCACAAGCACACCCCAAATGGCAGCCTCAATATACTGTCCACCTAAACCACAGGGAGCAGAGAGCCCAAGGTCTTGGGACCTGGGCCTGCAGGAGCTTTCTATCTTTTATCCTCCCACAGTCCCCGCTCTTTGGATGAGGAAACAGAGTGGAATGTTTATATGGCTTGTGAAAGTCAGGTAGTCACTGTACAGAACAGAAAGGGACTTAAGCCAACTTAAACATAAAGCCTTTATTCTACATCTAAAAACCCCATCACTCCAAGGGGTCAGGCATTAACTTTCTTCTCTGAGTCCAGAGCCAAGTGCATAGATGTTTTTGGGTGTGTACTGTGGCCACTCTGCTGGGGTGACCTCCAAAACACACTCGGAGAAACAGTGGATTGAAAACAGTTTCTCATGTTTTTCTGGGGTGCAGAAATCCTGTCCTTTGTCCCCTCTTTGATGGTCACTGGAGACAGGATGATTTTGAGAGTGAGACCATCAGTTCTCCAGCCAGGAGGGAATCAATCTTGCATTGAAAAGAAACCAGTTCTGTTCATGCTTTCTAAGAACTTGATAGGAACAAAATTACAGCCGAGAATATTTCCAGGCAAGTGCTGGATTTGGAGATGCTGGTGCTGGTGACAAGGCTGGGACAAAAGGAGAAGCCTATGAGCTTGGAGAATGCAAGTTACACATCCATGCTGCCTGGGTGGCTTGGTGTAACAATAGAACAAGGTCCGGCTGTCTCTTCATGCCTCTTTTCTTGTTTTAATTAAAAATAACCTGCGTGTCAGTGTTTCTCTATACAATGTACACAGTGAGCTGCAGCATCTTAAATGTTTGGCAGGACATTTGTGCTCATGACATCACACACTGCGAGGACAGGGAGGCCACTGTGGGACTGGCCCTGGGGATGGGCAGCATCAGTGCAGCCTTTGAGATGGCCCCACAAAAGAGTGTGTGACAGCCAGATGTGCAGCTCATGGAGACTGTAGCGGGATTGTGGGAGGAACGTTGGCACATGCTGCTCGTGGCTTGAATAGCAGCTCTTGAGGAATCTATATTTCTTTAGCTCATGTATACCCAGAGCTCAGGCACTGCGGCTGTGTCTGGAAGAGTGAGTGGAGATGGGGGCACTTGTCACTGCTTCATGTCCCCTTCTAGAAATGAAAAATGTGGGAATGTGAAGCCATTCCTAGAGGACTGTGGAGGGCAAGAATCACATCCAGGGAGGTTCCAGAGCAGTGGTGACCCATTGTCACATCCCAGACTTCTTTTGTTTAATTATGGCTGTCTCTCTCTCTCTCTCTCTCTCTCTCTCTCTCTCTCTCTCCTCCCCCTTCCTTTCTCTCTGGCTATTTGTAGCTCAGCCGTGAGTCTTGTTCAAGTGCAAATTCTGATCAATGCTTGTGGTCAGACCTGAGATTCTGCATTTCTTAAAAATAACAGCATGGAAATTCTTTCCCTCTTTTAAAATTTAAATTAGAAACAGGCTTGTTTTACATGTTAATCCCTATTCCCTTTCCCTCCCCTCTTTCCCTGCTCCCCACTGACCCCCTATTTCATCCCCTTTCTCCTCCCCAGGGAGGGTTAGGCTTTCCATGGGGATCTTCAAAGTCTGCCATATCATTTGGAGCAGGCCTAGACCCTCCTTGTGTGTCTAGACTGAGAGACTATCCCTCTATGTGGAGTGGACTCCCAAGGTCCATTCATGTACTAGGGATAAATACTGATCCACTACCAGAGACCCTATAGATTAACCAGACCTCCAAACTGACATCCTCATTCAGTTGGTCTGGAACAG